TTGATATCTGGGCTGTTTAGAGTTTAAACCCATGTTGAGACCCCTTTTTAAGGGCAGAGGTAATATTTGATTTACTAGTAGGAGCACACGTAATGCTTTCATGTGACCCAGAACATGGACCTAGAGTGTTATTTAGAATTTCTTGAAAGAGTAAACCTTCCTAAATTTCACTAGACTCTAACCTCATTGAGTTCAGGGAATAATGTCAAGTTTATTGCTTCATCCCAGAGCCAAGCATAGTGCTTCATATATAGAAAGTACCTAATCAATATTTGTGGAATGAATGGAAAGTCGCAGGGTCCATTAATACTTCTCTCACAGTGTCTCTGAAATAACCTTTTCTGCTGAGTCATCTTCTTTCTCTGCCTGCCTGATATAAATAAGACAAGGGTGTGAATTCAGCTATGCTTTAAGGTCTCTTCCAATTAAAAAAAAAATCATGGGTGGTAGGGGGGAGGGTAAGAGATAAACCAAAGGACTTGTATGCATGCAAGTAAGCATAACCAATGGACACAGACAGTAGAGGAATGAGGGCATGTGCTGGGGGGTGGGAGCAGCCGGGGAGAGCCCAATAGGGGGGAAAGGAGACATATGTAATACTTTAACCAATAAAGAATTTAAAATTTAAAAAAGAAAAAGAAAAAAAATCATGCTTTGTCATTTGAAAATGTCATAATAGAACCTGCAGATCTAGTCCCAATATTTGCAACATTGCCGACACAGGGATCATTTTACTGTGAAATACAGTTTGATTTCTCAAATCATTCCAACTCAGTAGCAATTGTTTTGGGAATAAACACTCTTTAGAAGTTGTTATTCATCATGCATTACTATGATGATTGATTGTGCTCCTAGCAATTCATGTCTTTTCTGACAACCTATGAGTAAGTAATTTAATTAAGCCTAGTAGACTAACATTTCAGTATGACCCATTCGCCTACCATCGGATAGATACGAGTGGAAAAATTGGTTGCAATTTAATTTGTCTTGGTTGCTAGGAAGAGCTAGATGTTTATCACAGCTCGCTGCTTTTGGAAGAAGTCACTTGACACATTTTGACAGAACGAGAAACTGCCTTTGCCAGACTAACTTGCCTGTTTTGAAAATGACAGCAGAATGTCGCCCATGTTTAACATGAATGCAGTAATCTTGTAATCCCCAGAAAATATACCCAAATGGTGCAACAAAATGTCATGCAAGACTAAAGCAGAGAAATATCCTGAATAGGATATTATGCAGGAGTTTTATTGTACTGGTATTTTCTTGTATGTCGGATTAGAAATTTCAAAATATGTAACTCAAGGCAGCTCCCAAATGCAACAGCTACATGTCCACACACAGACACGAACGTGCCTGCGTGGTATGTAGTGGCCAGAATCTGGTGCATGGTGGGCGTTCAGGCTAAGTGGGGGTCAGAAACGGAGTCCCAGGGGGTTTAGGTTTTGTTAGATTAAAGCTGTACAGCTGGTTCAGTGCCTGGGGGCAGATCCCGGGAACAGTCTTCAGGAAGTACTTAATAAATCCTTTATTTGTCGAATAAGTAAAGTAACAAATGACTAAAAAGTCATTGCCAAGGTAGGTAAGAGAAAACACTGCGAGTCATTCTCCCTGACTTCTAGGTGACGTGCCAAGTTCTAAAATTCCAGCACTGAAGGGCGTTTTTGTTTTGCAGCTCTGCCCTTCTCTCTGGGAAGCATGCTTGTTACCCAAGGACTAGTCCACCACGGTAAGAATCAACATTCGTTTACTAATTTAACTCCAGTTTCCTGCGAGCCTCCTGGCCACTTTTTGGTGCGGGGCATGTATTTTGTGGTGGAGGACTTATTTATGCAGGCTTTTGCCTATTTTCAGCATGAACCCCTCCACCCACCCCTCCGGAAGATGTCCTAATCCCCAGAATGAGTGACCATGTTAGGTCACCTGGCAAAGTGACATCAAAACTGCAGGTGGGAAGGCTGTTAATCAGCTGACCTTAAAATAGGGAGATTATTCTGGATTAACCAGATGGGCCCAGCGTAATCAGATGGATCCTTAAAAATTGGGTCAGGCCTGACTGGCATGGCCTGACCTATGAACCAGGAGATCAGGGTTCGATTCCTGGTCAGGACACATGCCTGGGTTGCAGGCTCGGTCCTCAGTGTGGAGTGTGCAGGAGGCAGCCGATCAATGATTCTCTCTCATCATTGATGTTTCTATCTCTCTCTCCCTCTCCCTTCCTTTCTCTGAAATCAATAAAAATATATTAAAAAAGAAAAAACAGAAAAAAATTGGGGTCAGAAGACGGAACCGGAGAGAGGGCAGCATGAGAAGGACTCACTCAACACTGCTGGCTTTGCGGATAGACGAGGGGCCAGGAGCCCAGAGTCCAGGAAAGGGGGTGGCCTCTAGGAGCTGGCAAGGAATGCAGCCCTGCCAGCACCTTGATTGTAGCCGGCTGCCCAGGCCTGAATGTTTGTGCCCCACCCCCCAGTTGACATGTTAAAATCCTAACCTGCCAAGGGGATGGTCTTAGGAGGTGAGGCCTTTAGGAGGCGATTAGCCTGTGAGGGTGGAGCCCTCGAGAATGGTAGTGCTCTGGCCAGAGACCTCACGGAGCTCCCACCACAAGGAGTCTGCAAACCCAGAGAGGGGCCTCACCAGCCCTGAGGATCCCCTGATCTTGGACTTCAGCCTCCAGAACTGTGAGAAATCAATTGCTGTCCTTTATAAGCCCCCCACCCCCAGTCTTGTTTCACAGCCCCAACAGACTGGCACACCCAGTGAAACCCATTCTGAGCTCTGACCTCCAGAACTGTAAGCTTGCAGATGTGTGTTGTTTTAAGCCTCCAGGTCTGTGGAAAGTTGTTACAGCAGCCACAGGAAACTAATACAGTGCCTTTCTCTGTGCCAGAGTCCCTGCGTCTCCCAGGGGCTCAGTATAAGTTAGACAGACTGTTCCCTGCGCATGGATGCTCCGGGGAGGAGGTAAATGGGGCTGAAATCCACCAAGCTCTGTCCCTCAAGCCATTTGTCCTGGCAAGAGGCTGCATTTCCCTGAGGAAGGGTGCCCTGTCTAATTTGTACAACAGGCATGAGGACTAGCAGGTGCCCTGCACCTCCCCACACAACCTCTCCCCTCCTCTTGGTGTTCCAGTTTACCTCTCTCTTCTTCCTTCCTTGCTCCCTTCTTTTTTCCTGTCTCCATCTCACCAGAGAGCCCATAGGCATTGCCTAGTTCCCAAATAGCAAGAAGGCATCTGACCCTGTCGAAGCCCATTGCTTTGAACACTGCTGATGACCAGGATTTAAAAAAGAGTATTTGTACCCAGCAAACATGAGCGAAGACGTTCAAGTTCTTTTTTGGGTCTCAGAGACCACACGTGTGGCTCGCGAGCCACAGTTTGCCGACCACTGATCTAGGAGAATCCCATTTCAGTCAATATTATTCTTCTCTTAAGGATTTAAGTTGATTTATTAAATATGATTTCATTTTTATAACTTGAAGATAGCCTTTTTATGGAAATATATTTATCAATCAGTAATGAGTCTTTGTCAGGCCATTTTTGACAGCAAAGAAATACAGTCATGCCATTATCGGGATTATATCTTATAAATATTAAACTCAAAATCTATCGTTTCTGGCATGTGCACAAATATACTTTTCCAGGGTTGTGCAGTAGTTTTCTACAACTACTATAACAAATTAACACAAACATAGTGACTTAAACAGTACAAATGTATTATCTCACAGTTCTGGAGGTTAGATGTCCAAAATGGGTCTCCCTGGTCTGAAATCAAAGTGTCCCCAGGGCTGCTCTCCTTGCTGGGGGCCCTGGGACTTCCTTTGTCCTTCCAGCTTCTAATGACCACCCAAAGTTCTTCTTGGCTCATGGCCCTTTCCTCTGCCTACAAAGCCAAGGTCTTTTACTACTGCCATCTGTCTGGTTCTGCCTCAGAATCCCTCTTCTACATTCAAGGGTCATTGTGATTACATTGGGCCCACCTGTGCTGAGCCAGGTGAACCTGAGAGGGGGCGGTGAAGGATTTAGAAAAGACAGACAAGAGAATAAAGCTGGGGCTAGGTGGGACGCTGCTCTCTGATGGAGAGACAGCGCCACGGCCTGCAAGCAGAGTCTTTATTTATTTTTTTAAAATATATTTTATTGATTTTTTTTACAGAGAGGAAGGGAGAGGGATAGAGACTTAGAAACATCGATGAGAGAGAAACATCCATCAGCTGCCTCCTGCACACCCCCTACTGGGGATGTGCCTGCAACCAAGGTACATTCCCTTGACCGGAATCGAACCTGGAACCCTTCAGTCTGCAGGCCGACTCTCTATCCACTGAGCCAAACCAGTTACGTCCAGAGTCTTTATTTTATAGCCAGATTCCACGAGGCAAAGTAAGGGTGTGGTAAGAACATTCTTGCGGATTTCGAATCTACTCAATTACATCTACCCGATCAAGTTTTGTTTACTTGCTGCACCTCCCGCAGCCCATATCACTCAGCCACGTGGGACCACAGGTTCGGACCATAAGGTCAAGCTTACAACTATAGCCTTTGGCTGTAATTGTGCTGGGACTTGCACGTGGATTTGCCACGAGAGGATCGTGCCCTCTCGTTAGTCCCAGGCTTGAACCTGTCCAAACGCTGTAGCTGCTCTCCACACCCACCCAAGTGATCCAGGGTAATCTTCCTATTTTAAAGTCATCTGAGTCACCCTAATTCCATTTTCTACCATAATTCACCTTTGTTATGCAATTGTAACCTATTCACAGTTTCCAGGGATTGGGATATATATGGACACCTTTAGGGGGCCATTATTCTGCCTATCACAGTAGTAAAGTTTTTATTTAAAAATTGTGGTAGGTATTCCATCAGGTGTCAAATAACAACATTTCGGACAATGACAGACCACATGTACAATGGTGCTTCCATAAGATTACAATGGAGCAGAAAAATCCCTGTGGGCTGGTGATGTGAGAGCCATGGGAACGTCGAAGCACAAGGCATTTATCTCTCAGCTACCTGAGGGGATCCCGGTGTAAGCACTCCTGCTGCACTGCCTGTCATATAAAAGTATAGCACCTGCAACTTGGACAGTCTGTAATACTTGATAACGATAATAAACGACTATGTTACTGGTGTATGTAATGACTATACTTTTTGTCATCATTTTAGAGTGTCCTCTTCTACTTATAAAAAAACGTTGGATGTAAAACAACGTGCTGTGTTATGCCAGCAGCAGCCTCGTGCATCTTGTGTTTCCCGTGTCTCTTGATTGCATCGCTTTCTCTTGAGTTTGACTTAATCTCGTGGTGTTTTGCACAGTAACATGCTGTACAGGCTTGTAGCCTCGGAGCAATCGTGTATCCCATGCGGGCTGGGTGTGTAGGAGGCTGTACACCCAGGTTTGTGTAAGTGCCGTCTATGATGTTCGTACAACGGTGAAATCGCCCAAGGATGCCTTTCTTATCATGTATCCCCGTTGATAAGTGAGGCATGACTGGTACTGGGCATCCTTAAGTTGAATTTCATAAGTTGAGTTACATTAAAAGGGGAGGCAGCAGTGACTAATTGTTGGAAATAAGTTGTTGGCTCCACCTTTGCACTGATATCTTTAAACAAGTCTTGAATTGTCTGTTTCATGTTCTTTTTTTACACATTAAAGCTAACACTTGCTACTTGGCAAAAATGGCTATTTGAGAGTTAAATTCAATCAAGAATTGAATTATAACTCTTTTAGGGTCATTTCTTGTGATTAAGAATCTATGTAGCACCCTAGCTGGTTTGGATCAGTGGATAGAGCGTCAGCCTGCAGACTGAAGGGTCCTGGGTTCGATTCCAGTCAAGGGCACATGCCAGGGTTGTGGGCTTGATCCCCAGTAGGGGGGCGTGCAGGGGACAGCCGATCAATGATTCTCTCTCATCATTGATGTTTCCATCTCTCTCTCCCTCTCCCTTCCTCTCTGAAATCAATAAAAATATATTTTTAAAAAAAGTAAAATATTAAAAAAAATAAAGAATCTATCTAGCCCTGGTCAGGTGGCTCAGTTGTTGGAGCATCATTCCAAATGGTTGTGGATTTAATCCCTGGTCGGGGTGTATACGGGAGGTAACCAATCCATGTTTTTCTCTCTCTCTCTCCCTTCCTCTCTCTAAAATCAATAAAAAACCATATCCTCAGGTGAGGGTTAAAGAAACTGCATATATATTAAACTCTGAAGATTTCCTTATACTTTATAAGTTTAAATAAGTAATACAATGAAATAATAATGTATATATTACTCCTTAGGTTATTTAGCAGCTAACCCAAGATTTGGATCATTGCCTAAAGTTGCACGTAAGTCATAGAAGTTAAAAAAAATATTTTTAAATAGATGTTTATAGCAGCTGGAGTTATGAATGTCCAGGTTAACCAAATTGCCTGCATTGCCTTTCTGAAAAATCAGTCTTTATTTTTTGCCACTTCACAGTCCTTCGTTCATTCAACACTTCCTGGAATCAAGTTGAGCCATAGGAACCTCCCCTTGGAGAGTCCTCTTTAAAGCGGGGACGAGGCCCCCTGGCAGGGCCCACCAGGGCCTCAGAATGATGATCCATTCGGGGTTTAAGTTTTCTTCTTTGGGCCAGTCTTTTCCGGATATTTTCTGTAGTGAACATAATAAGTGAATAATTTTTTTAAATCAGGGACTTTCTAATACACCAACCATAAACTCAGGATTTTCTTTTTTCCACTCATAATACATCGATCTACTTTGTACAAAAGGGATGCTTTCCCGTTTACAGTCTGAAACTTCATTCCCAGCAAGAGGAGCAGGTTGAAGATTTCTTCCCTGAGAGGCTTTCTCTGCCTCGAGACCTCTCTCCCCTACAGGCAGGATGGACCGCAGCTCCCCAAACTCCAGTCCATACAGAGAATTTCCTACCCAGTGATTTGGAGAAACTATAACCCCTCCCTCCCCTGGTGGCCTCAGACATTTATTTGCTGGCCTGGCCTCGCTCAGGCTGCCTGGCCCTGGCCCGGGGTCACACCTCTGCTTGCTCTGTCCTGGCCCTTCTACCACCAATTCAACACGGAGCCAGAAAGGCTAATCCTGCTCTTCAACAGGGAGCTTCATTCCCAGATCGTTTGTCCATTGATTTGTCGTGGTGCTTTAAAAAAATAAAATGAAAATGTTGTCTTTATTGTTGAAAGTATCGAGGTACTTTTAATATTAAAATTACTACTATTAATAAAGAAAATTCTAGAAGATAACTAATGGAGGAGATTCTGACCCTTTATATAATCTATCTTTCCTAACCTGCTTTTACAGTTGCTGGTATCCTGGGATATGGCCTGGGAAAGGCATCATACATAGGAGTCTGCCAAAGTAAATTTCATTCCCTTGACGATCAGCTACGCGGGGCTGGCTTTGGTCCAGGGCATAACAGGTTTGTAATCTGTTTGATTGAGGGATTGTAATGAAGGTAATTATAAAAAGGTAAATAAAAGATGATTCACCATTTAAAATATTTTTCTTAACATCTATATATTTATATGCTGGGGTAAAAAACCTCCTTAAACCTCAAATTTTGAGTTCTTGCTATTCAACTTCAATAATAATTACTTATTATTTGACTTAGTTTCCTATTTCACTTGCTTAACAAACATTTAGTGAGTATCTACTGTGCTCAAGGCATTGTGCAAGTCTGAAAAGAATACCTTAGTCAGCAGACATGGCTTCTACTATCACGGGGTTACACCGAATTTAAACAGGTTTCTTTATTGCAGGACTTTTCAGAGCCTTTACTGTGTTAATATACTGTATATAGAGTGATTCTCATTAGGGGATATAAGCAGTAGGACTCTGGAGTGAAGGGCATTGCCTCTACTGTTAGAACACCTGGGTCGAAAACCAGTTGTACCACTTATTAAATAAACCATGTAATCTTGGAAATGTTTCTTAAACTCTCTAATCTTCAGTTTTCTCAACTGTATAAAATGGTGAGCAGAATTGTTTTCATGGAATTGTTATAAGGAGGAGAAATGACTGTGACACTCAGTAAGTAATAGCTATTTCTACCACAGGACTAGTGTTGGGGACACATTCACTAAAGACCCTCACTTGTCACAGTGGATTCTATGTGAGAGGCAGCACGGTACTGTGGGGAAAAAAAACACAAAAAACATTGGGCGTGATCATTATTGGCCTTTATCTTGAGTGAAATTCTGGCAGTCTCAAGCCAAGAAGCAGCTCCTACTATTCCCTAAGACAGTGGTCGGCAAACTCATTAGTCAACAGAGCCAAATATCAACAGTACAACGATTGAAATTTCTTTTGAGAGCCAAATTTTTTAAACTTAAACTATATAGGTAGGTACATTGTTATTAACTTAATTAGGGTACTCCTACGATGGCCTTTGCTAAAAACGTCCTCAATCTGATTGAGGTACGTTCGCTGAGGTCGACCCCTTCCAACTCTCCCATCCACATTTGTCTTGTAGCCAGGCTCACTCAACTCGTGCATGAATCGTGCGTGCCTCCCCCGCGCTGCGTATCCCGCAGCCCACCTGCGCCGCATCTCCGGTCACCCGACCAACCGAAGGACCGACCGACACCCCCCACTTCTTCTAACGCCACTTCTTCAAAATAGACTCGCCCAGTCCGAAAACCGACTTCTGCTCATGGGCCACGAAGTTTCAATCGCACTGTACGTGCGCGCCCGCACGTGGTATTTTGTGGAAGAGCCACACTCAAGGGGCCAAAGAGCTGCATGTGGCTCGCAAGCCGCGGTTTGCCGACCACTGACCTAAGACATTGGGCCTATGAGCGTCAGCATAGGACAATGTCTCTCAATCAGGTGTTAAGACTAGAGCTTCCAGTGTCAAAGCACAAACCTCTCTTTTTGCTTCTGTCCTAGGCACTGCCTGCTTACCTGTGAGGAGTGCAAAATTAAGCACGGATTAAGCGAGGAGCGAAGTTCACAGCCATCAGCTTCCTAAACTCTACACCCGTGGCTTTTGAAGTTTCTTAAAGTTCTGAATTTGCACACACACTACAATTTCAAGTGTACTTGAAAATAGCGTACAGTGGAACAGAAACGTTGTGATTCTCTCTATCAAAATGCTTTTTGCGGAAGATTCTCAATTGAATTGAGTGTATGTTTTTCTACTGTGTACGAACATGGTGGGAGAATTCACACACCGAAAAGAAATTATGTTGTATTCTAACTTGTATACAGTGAAGTAAAAGAATGTCAAGTCCTCTCTAATTTTCCCCATCTATTCGTTCTTTCTGCCTTTGTTCTGGGTTTTAAAACCTCTTAAAGTGGACAGGCGTGAAGGTTGGGGAGCTTGGGAAGTCATACCCCACCCAAAACCATTGTGTATGGAGATAGAAACACAGGGCAAGAAGGATTGCTTCTTATAGGTATGTGGGGCACTTAGTGAGAAATGCGTCACTTCAGAGAGTCACGGTATGGGCCAATTGTCCTTCCGGTGACCTCGGTGACTTTATGCCTCATCAGTATGGTGGAGTTTTGCTTAGCCATTGGGTACACGCTTATAGTCATCACTCAAGTACTGGGTTAGTTTATATACTGCTAGTGGCCTCAAAGAATAAACACAACTTCCCAAATGGTCCCTTCTTCTCCCAGGGAACAGTTTATTATGGGAGGAATCATGGGAAGAATTAATGCATAGAATGATAAACTTTTAAGGCTATAGGCAGATCAGAAGCAGCCAATTCAACCCCATGAGTTGGATTCCTATTTATTGCCAGGTGTGTGTTTTTTGTTTTGTTGTGTGTGTGTGTGTGTGTGTGTGTTGTTTTTTGTTTTTTTTGCAAAAAAAAACCCTCTTCCATTGGGGACCTTTTGTTTTATAGCAGGTTGTCTGAGTCCTACTTTAAAAATGTCCCTTGCATTTTTTGCATTTTCTCAGAAAAATGCTTTCTTTTTTAAAATATATTTTATTGATTTTTTACAGAGAGGAAGGGAGAGAGATAGAGTTAGAAACATCGATGAGAGAGAAACATCGATCAGCTGCCTCCTGCACACCTCCTACTGGGGATGTGCCTGCAACCAAGGTACATGCCCTTGACCTGAATCGAACCTGGGACCTTTCAGTCCACAGGCCGATGCTCTATCCACTGTGCCAAACCAGTCAGGGCAGAAAAATGCTTTCTATGTGTGTCACCATTTATACATTGGGCATGTGTGTGTACGTAATTTGTGTTTTGTGTAATACATCTTGAAACCTGCACCATAGAGGTAAAAAGGGGAACCTCATCAGCAGTTAATACTTGATATGAAATATTTTATTTAAAACATCAAAAATATTTGCAAGTTTCTATTTTCACATGAACACTAAGTGTATGAAATGGAGTGATGTTTGACTATCTCTTCGTGTATACATCTCCTCATGTCTCAGTCGATAAAGTTCTCCTTCTGTAAACCAGATCACAGAGCCAATATCCTAGCTTCTTGGATGCAGTTTAATTCTTGGCTCTGACTTAGCAATTGGTGACTCTTTGTTATCTCTGCTATTGGTAAAAGTTCAGATTTGGGCACATTTATTTCCTGCATTCCAGAAAATTATTTCCCAGGGATCAGAACATTTTCACATTGCTAAGCACAGCAAGCCAATGCAGAAATCGGTCTCAGGGTATTGGGAAAGGTCAATCTATTATTGTTGAGAAGGCACACAGTTTTTCCTGCTGATATCTTCATAGTTCTGCATCAAATTGGGTTTATTGTTTGGGCTCTCTGCTTTTCCAACATAAGTAAGTTATTCATGGAAGCAGTTTTTTTCACAGTGATCTCAGTGTGAAAGGAGATCTATAAAGAAAAAGAAAACCTAGACGGTCATCTAAGAACTCTCAGATATTTTGCTCCATTATCTATTGTATATATTAGGAAGCAAGTATCTGGGGAACAATGTCTGTTTCTTAAAGGAAGATGTGTTAAAGGAGCAGCATTTGCCATTTAGCATGTAGCAATTACCAACAACACTCACCACCACGCTGGTCATAAGCTTGTGAAAGTAGTACCTTCATGGTGAAAAAAAAAAGTTGTATTGTACCTACTAGCAATGCTTATATGTTTTTTAAATTCTCATTTAAGGAAAGATATTCTTTTTCCTTGCTGTCAGAATGGATGATTTATCTCTATTTTCTGTGAACATTACACAAGTAATAAAATTAATCTTGAACGGCATGATTAAGCCATGAAAATGTGCTGTAGGTAATTTTCATGATATTCAAATAATGCATATCTGTTCATTGACAGAACATGTTTCCACTTAGGAACTCTACACCCAAATTTCAACGGTAGAGTTTGATTCCATAGACAGAGTTGGCAGAGATGTCGGTGACTAACCCACCGGCTGCAAAGTCCAGGGCCAAATTAATAATGTAATTGAGTGAAGCTGGACTAGGTGCATGTTAAAACAGGCATAACCTTCACTTCCACACACAAAAATAGGCCACCTGCTGTTGTCAAATCTTCCAATTTGCAAAACAAATAAGTACAGGTTTTATGTGAAATATCCTGGTTTTTAAATCTTGAATCTTTCATCTATTCCATTGTTGCCTACCGTGTTCCAGGCACTGTTTTAGGTACGTCAGTGGGAATGTGACAGGGAGCACAACCAACAAAATTCCACACCTTCCTGGAACTTATATTCTCAGCACCAGTCTGAGGTTTGAGACCTGACTCAACCCCCTACCCACTGAAAATCCCCTCTGCTGTCTGGGCAGGTGACATTCCAGGACCTACGTATGTACTTCCAGGGGAAGGACACCTGCTGCTCCATGTGCAACCCAGTACACTGCCCAGGTGCAAAACTACCCAGAAAGGTCTGTGGGAGCCCAGGCCTGCCTCCCTGCCCCTCTAGACTAGCTCCTCCAAGACAGAACGTGTATCCTTTTTTACTTATTTCTCAATTTCCACCCTCAAGCAGAGTTCTTGGCCAGACATAGGCACGTCATAAGTATTTCTCAGCCTAAACTTGTAATTTCCCTGTGGCTACACAACAGAATTCTTCTTCTTTCGCATAACAGCCTTTAAATATTTGTGATGTCCTCACATACCAAGACTCCAGAAATGGGCTTACCAGGTATTTCTTTTAGGCACCTGAACAGATAGCAAGAGGCACTCTACATTAGGCCCTGGGCTCAAATTCAGCCCCACCATTACTGGCTACCTAACATTGAGTCAGTTATTTACCTGCTCCGGGCCTCAATTTCCTCATCTGTAAAATGGGAAGATTTTCGATTTACCTGTAGGTTATTCATGAGAATAAAATGAGTTTTGCCCTGACCGGTTTGGCTCAGTGGATAGAGAATTGGCCTGCGGACTGAAGGGTCTCAGGTTTGATTCCGGTCAAGGGCATGTACCTTGGTTGAGGGCACATCCCCAGTAGGGGGTGTACAGGAGGCAGCTGATCAATGTTTCTCTCTCATCGATGTTTCTAACTCTCTATCCTTCTCCCTTCCTCTCTGTAAAAATCAATAAAATATATTTTAAAAAAATGAGTTTCTTACAAAATGCTTAGAACTGTGCATAGCTCAGAGCAGCCACTCAATGGATGTTAACTACTACTACTACTGCAGTCCAAAAAACGTTTCATTATGTTCCATTTTTGGCCCATGCTAGGCTTTTTCACATGACCTACCTTTAAGTCAATTCTCTCCATTTATGCTTATGCAGCAGGTCATTCTGAATTTCAGTGTAATTCATTATATATACATATATCTCTCTTCAACCTCATGATCCTGATTTCAGGCCCAACTATCTGTCCTTTTCAGTCCAAAATCTGTGATTTAACAGGTGAGTGATGTGTCGTCTGCAATGGAAAATATTCAGATTACCCCTTTGGTTTCTTATAGTGTTCAAGGCTCATGATTAAACAATCCTTGTTAACTGAATGTCTTGCAGAAGCAGAGTTTACTTTAAAATACAAACCTCAAATCGTAGTTTGGTTCATTAGATTATCTCATCTCTAAATGTGCACAGGTCAAGAAGGAGGATGGGAATGGGAAGGTGACAAAAGAGGAGGGACCTGGGAGGTAGAAGCCAATAATGGTGGGGAAAGAAATAGCAAAAAGGAACCTCCCTGAATAAGGTTTTGAAAATCAGGGCTGTCATCACAAGCCTTATGGCTTCATTCATCAATTCAATATTTTTTAGAACCTATTATATGCAAGGCAAGGTGCTAGAAGAAATAGGAGTACATGCATACATAAGATAGTCTCTGCACTCAAAGAGTTAGGTAGAGGAGATATATAGGTAAACAGCTGTAGTGGAATGTAACAGTCCTGTGTGGGGTAGATGCAAACCCACTGCCATTAGAATTCAGGGGCAGTCGTGGTCCCTTTTGCTGTCCTTGCAGATTGTATAACTGGTCCAATTCTCTACCTCTCCTCGTATCCATGCCTTTTGTCATGGACTTTTGCATTTCCTTTCCATATGGGCTTTTGCATTTCACTTTTGACCTTGGGCTTGTCCTATGACTTGCTTTAGGCAAAATGCGAGGCAGAAATGAAGGTGTGCCAGTTTCAAACTTAGGCCTAAAGAGACCTCTGTGTTTCATTTGTGTCTCTATTATGAACATAAGAACATGCCCGGTACCGAGATGCAGAGGCAATAGCTTTGCAGACTGACCCATCAGTTCCACAATTGCCTAAGATTTAATCCCTACAATAAACCCCTTATTCTGCATCATTCAGAGCAATTCTGCTTTTCCATCAAACTCTAACACGGGAACTGGATAGCTGGAAGTGGCCTGCAGGCATAACAAAAATCTCAAACACGTTGCATTGGTTGTGGGAACAAGTGGCATATAAATGCTGGCAGGACTTTGAGGAGATTATGAAAACTTGAAGGGCCTGGATGAGGGTGTTAACAGAAGCCTAAAGACCTTCCAAGTAGGCTGTCAAGAAGGGATTATAAGAGAGGAATTATTGGAAGCTGAGATTCTGAAGATGTAGTCAAGTTTAGCAAAACTGTCACCTGTGGTAACATAGGAAATAGGAAATGTACCTAAGGAACTTGATTGGCTAAGATTTCTGGGGTTAAGGGTGCCACTTGGCTGCTGTCTAAAATGAAATAAGTGAGGCAAAAAAAAAATCATTCCAAGTGATTTGGAGAAAATATAAAGGTCCAAACAGTCTTTTAAACCTGCAAACGTTCTCATATTCAGAAATGGCTTCCAGCAAAGATCAAATCCCGAGTGGGGTGATGGCTTTTTGTTCAAGACCTCAGAAGGATGG